ACACTGTTATGTCAACAAAGCAGTTTGCTTTGTCAACAGAACTGGATGTAGTCTAGACGCTCTTTGTTGACAGAAGCTTCGTCGACAGTATCTGTTGACAAAACTTCTGTCGACAAAAGCCTGTAGTCTAGACGTACCCAAAGAGAATAAGTTAGCTTTAACAAATGTGTGTATATATATATATATATATATAGTATTAATGTTAGAGTCATCAAATGAAGATATAGGGACAGATCCTTAGATACAAGGACAGATTCTCAGCAGGAGTAAAATAGTATAGCTCCATTGACGACTATGGAAACATGCCAATTTAAACCACATGAGGATCTGATCCAGTACAGCAGAAATAATTGTTTAGTCTAATTTACACTTTTACTCAAGCAAATTCCAGTTTGTGAATGGATGATTTTATTTGAATTAGTGACTGCACATATAGTTTCTAATTTAAGTAATTGTTTTGAGTAGATGGCAAATTGCTGCATACCAGTTTTCGTTCTAATCTTTTGTGGGAACAATAACAACAGGTCGGGTCTTAAAAATTTAAAAGCATATCAGTATACATTTCAGTAGTTGAAAACTTAAAAAATTGGGCAGCATGTCAGTTTATTTTTAAGATGATTTTTTGGTGGATGGGGAGTTGTTGTAGTAGAGAACTTTATTATTTACAATCAGGGGATTTTATATCAGATATCAAATGATTTTACAGGTACAGGCAGTCCCCGGGTTACGTACAAGATAGGGACTGTAGGTTTGTTCTTAAGTTGAATCTGTATGTAAGTCGGAACTGGCGTCCAGATTCAGACACTGCTGAAACTGGATTTTTTGGTGGATGGGGAGTTGTTGTAGTAGAGAACTTTATTATTTACAATCAGGGGATTTTATATCAGATATCAAATGATTTTACAGGTACAGGCAGTCCCCGGGTTACGTACAAGATAGGGACTGTAGGTTTGTTCTTAAGTTGAATCTGTATGTAAGTCGGAACTGGCGTCCAGATTCAGACACTGCTGAAACTGACCGCCAGTTCTGACTTACATACAGAATCAACTTAAGAACCCCAGGCGTCCCCAAGTCAGCTGCTGCTGAAACTGATCAGCAGCTGATTCCAGGAAGCCCGGGGCAGAGCAACTGAAACTGACCAGCAGCGGCTGAATCAGGACCTGGGGCAGAGCAGCTGGGGTGCTGCCGGGTTGGTCCAGTAGTGCCCAGAGCGGGCGCTGCAGGACCAATCAGCAGCGCCCCAGCTGCTCTGCCACAGGCGTCCAGAGAAAAACCTAGTCTGCTGGGGGGGGGGGTACTAGCTGCGCCCCCCCCCACCCCCGC